TGAGACCAAAAGAGGTTATGTCCAAGTTCACATCATTATTAAGTAACTTTCCACTTGTCCCTGGTATCTTTCTATGAATATATACATTTTTCAGTTAGTTATTTAGGCATTAGTAGTACACAAAATACACAAAATGCTTCAACTAATTCCTGTGATAATATCCTCAGAGTAACTCTACTCCACATCTGTCTTGAAAGACCTGCAAAGAAGACAGAATGAGGCCAGAAAAATCTCTCCATTTTAGATTAATTTGAAGTTTTGCAAATTAATCCATTTTGAATAACAATTAATTCATCCAAATTTTTATTAACATGATTATCATAATTTGCATAATCTCAGAGTGTGAAATGTCTATAGGAATCCTGACATACTTAGAGTTAAATATTTTCATTTTCATTTATTTGGATTTACCTTTTACTACAAAAATACAGGTGCATTCTGCAGGAATAAAAGGAGGGTGCAGTGAGTACTAATTAATGAATTTCTTAATAATAAATGTTTTTAAAATAAAATAATTCAACAATTGTCATCTCAAATGGCCTTTACAAAAAAGGATAATACCTCAAGTATACCTTGAAACATTTTTCACAAGAATTAAGCATTTTGAGATATATTTACTAACTCATTCGATATCTAATGTTGGCATGAAAAGAATTATCTAGTATGTAAGTCCTTAGACACTGGTTTTGCTCACCAGCAAGAATGCAGTTTGAATTTATTAAAATTATTGAGCTTTGCCTGTGTTCCAGGTTTCTTGTTAAGAACTTAACAAATATTAGACCTGAGAGAATTTTTCTCCAGATGAGGGTTCTCTGCAGTTTCTCCAGCGAACGAAACAACTTTATTTATATACAATAATTGCTAATCGTCAAATGTTAGTAAAACTGAAAAGAACAATCTAGTAAAAAAGAAAAAAAAACCCTATTTTATTAAAACAGTGGCAGCCTAGAAAAAAACAAATAATCCTATCAAAGAGTGGGCAAAGGAGGATAAACAATTCTCAAAGGCATATAAATGGCCAACAAATATATGAAAAAATGCTCAACATGACTAATAATTAGGGAAATGCAAATCAAATGCAAATCAAAACCACAAAGCAATACCACCTACTCCTGCAAGAATGGCCATAATCAAAAAATCAAAAAATCATAGATGTTGGCGTGGATGGAGTGAAGAGGGAACACTTCTACACTGCTCGCAGGAATGTAAACAAGTACAACCACTATGGAAAACAGTGAGGAGATTCTTTGAATAATTAAAAGTAGAACTACCATTTGATCCAGCAATTCCACTACTAGGCATCTACCCGAAGGAAAAGAAGTTATTATATGGAAAAGGTACTTGCACACACATGTTTATAGCATCACAGTTTGAAATTGCAAAAATATGGAACCAACCCAAATGTCCATCAATCAAAGAGTGGATAAAGAAACTGTGGTGTGTACATGTGTGTGTATATATGTGTGTGTGTGTGTGTGTGTATATATGTGTGTGTGTGTATATATGTGTGTGGATATATATATGTATGTGTGGATGTATATATAGATCGATCGATCGATCTATCTATCTATCTATCTATCTATCTATCTATCTATCTATCTGATGGAATACTGCTCAGCCATAAAAAGGAATGAATTAATGGCATTCACAGCAACCTGGATGATTTTGGAGACTATTCTTCTAAGTGAAGTAACTCAGGAATGAAAAACCAAACATCATATGTTCTCTCTCATAAGTGAGAGCTAAGCTATGAGAATGCAAAGGCATAGAATGACACAATGGACTTTGGGGACTCAGGGAGAAAGAGTGGGAGAGGGGTGAGGGATAAAAGACTACAAATTGAGTACAGTGTATACTGCTTGGGTTATGGGT